GATCTATTACTGAACAGACGCACTGCAATACGGAATCTGTTTGTTTTATATAATAAAGAAACAACAGAAAAAGCTTGCAATAACTTGAAAGCCGGCCTTTGCCCACTTTGGTGACCACGCAAAAAGCCATTTGACGTAATCTCTTGTCTACACAAATGAAGCAATCTCATTGGTTGCTATGCGTAGCAAAGAATTGTGATTGGCCCACGAAAATCACGTCACTGTCAAACTTGACTCGAAAGTCACTTCTTGTGGAATGAAAACTAACAGTGAAAGCAGAATTGAACTACGAAATCTGCAAATCTAAAAGAAAATGCTGGAAAAGTCAAGTCAGTTTTTGTCATCAGAGCAGCCCTGTGAGCCGAAAAGCTTGGATGTTGTCTTGAATATTGCAGGAGTTCAAAAAATACGCTCGGAAACTTTCGGTTGCAGTCAACACTGGAGGCCATTCGATTCAAGGTTTGGATGAAAGGAGTGTTAGTGACGGTGGAAATTTGTGTCCTCTGTGGATGGTGATTCTCAAATCAGTTTGATATAGTGTCGGAGACACCTTAGAGCTGGGATACAGTTGGCCGTGATCTGTTGTGAGCTCTACTTTTCTCGATACTGTGCCTTGAAACGAACTGGAACATTCGTGTCGGAAAACAAGGTTAAACTTAAGCTGAAGCTGAAGCTTATTTGTTTATTTAAACTGATGATGTTTTGATGTTTAATTCCTGGAATCAAACTGTGTCAACAATAATTTTGATAACAAGAAAAGTTGAATTTTTCAAATAATTTAATGACATAAACATTTTGCTAACTGGTTCTGTTAAATTCGAGACGTGGTTTCTTACCTCAAAGTAATTTCAAGACCAATTTTGTGTTTAATTTAGTCTTGCTCGATTGCCGACTGATACTGCTCGAGTATTTTTTCTGAGTCATTTTCTAGAAAAGAACTTGAACAGCTTTTTGTTCCTTCTTTAACACTCTCGTACCTGTTCAATGCCTCGACAAGCTACCTTTGATCTCGTCGCTTTTCTGGTTTCTATGATCGCCCCAGTAAAGAAATCTGTCAATCATTTGAGAACCCTAACGAGCATGCGCATAACACGAAAGTAATGCGAGGAAACCAAAACATGTTTCGCCGCCATTTTTGTTCAGGATTTGCCTTCGATTCGTTAACTTTTTATTCGCTGTTAGCAATTTTTAACGACAGCTCTGAGACAATCAGGACTAAGGGAATTAAAGACCAGCTTTGTGCTATTTTCCTGTCGAGCGTGGATGCATTCTTGGTTAGCCTGGAGAGGTTTCCCTGTCGCAGGAAGAAAACGAAGCTGAAGTTTTTACTTTGCTGTGGAAATTTCAAGGTTCATTACCTGCCATCTTCACACCGACCAATTATTCTTCTCTAATTTCTATGGAAAATAGCGATGTCGAACTGTTTCATATCTGGCATGATATATCACGAAGCCTCCGAACGTAAGTTTTTAAAATATTTCTCAACTGTTCAGAGTTGTACATTTAAACTTGAGCTTACATTAAACGAGCTTTTCTGTCTAAAGTTTTTTCCGTCTTAACTTACTGCCTTATGAAAGACCGCAATTACTTTATGATTTTCCCGTAATATGTTGAACCTAAAGACTTTCTTTCGAGTAATTTAAATCATGAAACTTGAAGGCAGTCGCAGATCAGTCAACAGTAGTTGTAGTTGAGTGCTAGTACTGAGGTAGGCAGGTAAAATGGTCATTCATCCAGACAACTAACTTTAACTTGGGCAAACCTGAGTCAACAGNTCAGTCAACAGTAGTTGTAGTTGAGTGCTAGTACTGAGGTAGGCAGGTAAAATGGTCATTCATCCAGACAACTAACTTTAACTTGGGCAAACCTGAGTCAACAGAACCTCCACAACATTTTAAATAGGCCAATTTTGAGACTTGGCTTCAGGCTTTCAAGAATAACAACAAAAGACATCAAGCGCAGGGATTGGTAACAATCATTTAGCCCTAGGCCTATTAACCCCTAACCATTAAAACCCCAACCAGAAGTCAATAAGCCCCCAACCAGAATTTTAAAAAAACTGTATATTTCTTGTTCTTTAAGCACGAGTATGGGGCTAATCGACTTGTGGTTGGGGGCTCAGCGGCTAGGGGCTAATCAAATGACCGACAACCAAAGGATCAGGTTTGATTTATTCCTCTAGGGCAAAAAGATGAGTATGGATGTTAATATATCAAATTTGGCCTAAAGTGTTGATTATCAGTGGCTTGCTCGTGTAATGGAAGGAGAGCTAAATAAGACAATAAGGAAGACTAATATAAAATCAGATGAATGAAGTCTTTAATAGTACATGTCTCAAATGACAATTCTTGGTGCAAGAGAGGAGCATGAACCCTTTGAAAACTGATTGCATAAAAAAATTAGTGCAAGGGAAAGGACTACAGAAAGAGTACCAAAATGAGGTGGTAAAGTCAAACTTCCTGCACACTCTCTGTCTCAACGACTTGATTGGACCCATTAAGGATGATTATGGAGAAACAAAAACAATCAATGACGCAACTATTGTGTTCTAACCAAAGAGATAGTAGTGATGAATTCTCAATTCTTCTGAGGGACCTATCCAGTATTCACTGTCATAAATAATGCCAGATGCTTTGCCTGAAACTGAAACAGACCTCTTGTAGTAACGTAACAGAAAAGCGCCGTACCCACTGCGCTCGCTATGCTTTAACCCTGTCGGTTAAGTGCAAACAAATATAAAAATATAAAAATACTTCAGTTTATCCCGTTGATAGGACAGCGCTACAAAAAGAGCTCGAATGAAATATTCATGCCTGCAATCTTGCTCACACTGTGGAGTTCCCGCTCTCAGGTTTACGTTGGAATCTTTATCCCCGATGCCTCGATCAAAATATCCAAGATTTAGANCGCCGTACTCACTGCACTCACTATGAAACCTGCTTTAACCCTGTCAGTTTAGTGCAAACAAACAGGGTCAGGAAGCTGTTAAGCTGTTCAAAAAAGCAACCCTTACCATCAGGGAGTCCGGAAATATAGAAGTACTTCAGTTTATCCCGTTGATAGTACACCGCTACAAAAAATGCTCGAATGAAATATTCATGCCTGCAATCTGGCTCACACTGTGGAGTTCCCGCTCGCAGGTTTACGTTGGAATATTCATCCCCGATGCCTCGACCAAAATGTCCAAGATTTAGATGTAGGGCAACTGGAACTTTTTCTTAGATGTTTGAACGTGAAATATGCGCGACGTTTACAAAACTTTGCAAACACATCCCGCTCACGGAATTAAGTCCACCATGTTTGTTTTCCACAAACCAGTACTTAGTCTCGCACGGCCAAATTTCTTAACTGGGGCGATCATGGAAACTCCGTTCCAGGTCTCGCTGCTTGGCCCCCCTGGATTTCCTACACCCAAAGCTCCGTAGACCACAGATGATCTCCTGGACTGAATGAGCGTATTAAAAACAACACAGAATACGGATATCATGTGCTTTTCTTTGCATCGCACATATCGGCTCTTTCAGTGAAAAGACCAGAGCTACAGAAATACATCCGAGTAAATAAAATGGAAAAAAAAAATGAAACTTGTGTTACGTAGCGGGCACTTAGATAACCTCTTGGAAATGAGCGTATTCCAGAAGGCACAAAATACGAATAGTACGAAACTTGGTCTGGCGCAAATTATGCTGTTTCTGTGAGAAGACGAGATGAGCTACACAAGCACAGCCGAGTAGAATCAAAAAAGAAACTTACCTATGGTATCGGAGTCTCCGAGTTTGGGAGCAGACTGTTTGCATGCTAATATATGCTAAAGTATGCATTTTCACTAAAGCACTCTGTCGATAGTAACGTGGTTTACAACTATTAATTGGTCGACGATTTAGTGTTTATAGTAACAATAGACCTTTCACGCAATATCAATAATATTTCGTACTTTTTATACAAACAAAAAAACACCTCCATAGATACCGTAGGGCGAGGGCAATTCATTAGTCTTTGAAAAATGTACGAGAGCTACATCAAGAACTACCAAAATTGTTTCGCTACTGAGTTGTTCTTCTTAAGAAACACAATATAGTCAACATTGTTATGTCGTTCGGCAGCAGGTAATAGGCGTGTAGCAGTTTCGATTAACTGATAAACTAAAATTTCGATTTAACAGACGAATCAACCGAAAGTTCTGAAATTTCTGGAGTAAGATCAATTGGAAAGCAAATTCCCGATAAGGCCGAATTTTCGAAAAATCAGGGTGTGACTTGAGAGGTTTTCCTCTTTTCTAACAGAGCTCATGTTTTTGTATTCCTTCCAGATGCCTCATTACTTTGCGAAGGATTTTTTGCTCCAGTGATACCTTCATCTTATCAGGAGGGCAGGAAATTTAAAATCTATGTTGTGTCCGATCTAATGAAGATAATAGTTATGGCATGGGCTGTATAACTTGCTTAGAAATTGCATGTTGCGCGCACAATTTCTTAGTCACCCATCCAAATGGTGACAAACGGTGGGCGAAACGTTTTAAGTTCGACAAAAGAACGAGAGAAGCGCGGCGTCTGAATCAAACTTTTGAATTAAATTCGGCAAGCAATTTATTTCGATAAGTACTGCCGTTTTACGCGAGCGCAAAGCAAAAGGCATAAATTATGTTCATGTACTTTGGGAGATTTTGTTCCCGCAGGGAGTTACGAGGAGAATAATAGTTTCTTGGCTCCATCAAATTCTTTGAATTTGATACGACTTTGAAATATGTCTGAATCAGAGTCATGTTTCTGCTGTGCTGAATGTAATAAAGTTTCGCGCGACAGAAGCACGGCGTCTGTGCTGAGCTTAAGATACGTAATCAGTACAAAGTCATAAAGTTAAGTTCAGTCTTCGGCCTTGTCCTAAGCGTGTAGCGTTCTATGCAGTGAATATCAGCTCTCTTATTCTGTCTGTTGGATGAATCACACCCATACTGACAAGATGGCGATCTCAACAAAGCGCACAACGGGATCCGAATTTGTTCCGAGCGCTCGAGGAGCCAAGCAAAACTTATGTTGAGATAAGGCAAACCTATGTTGAGATAAGTGGTTTATTTCTTCATTAACAACTTTATTTTAGCATATTTAGGACCAAAGAGAATTTTCCGTATCAAGTCTGGAAATCTCTTATTGACCTTATTGTCTACTGAGCTTTGGCCGCCTTTGATCAGCACGGGCACCACGTATTACTTCATGAACTGCACGCGGACATATTGAGACTAAAGGCAATAATTCAATTTTTCAAGACAGCCTTGAATAATCTAATATAGCACAGACCTAAGAGCAGTAGAGCTTGCTAGTAAGGCTTATGGAGGATAAAACTACTTTACTCTATATTTACGAAAGAAACGAATACGCGACAACTTATATAAAAATTGATTATACAACGCGCATATCTTGAACGTCCTTCCGATGCCGATCAAAATGTACACGAGCCTACGTGCTGGGATATATCGCAGGGTGGTCAGTCGGTTCCTTTCTTCACTATTTTTTTTTTCAAAAAATTTGGAATATATATTTTCGTAGGACAAATGCCACACATTACCCTCATTATCTTCAAAGTAGCTAACAAATATGCGAGAGAGAGCAGGCAAGCGACAAAAATCTCTTTTTAAAATCTTGTTGTGACTATGTTTACATTCGATTAAAACTGTGTTCGGTCAACTTAAAGCAATTACAATGGTGAATCACAGAAACAGATTTGCAAGTATTCCCTCTAAACTCTCTTTAGGTAACCATTCATGTTCCATGTTGCATTGTGCCTGAAAAAGATTAATAAATAGGTTGAAGTTAATGTTCAGTACTGACTGTGAACGTTGTAAGCACAAGTGTTGACGGAATTCCATGCATGATAACAAAAGCACTTTTCTACGCTCGAGAGGGAGAAGGGACGACGAACCTCACAAGTAAATCGAGAATTAAGTGGACATGGATGCATGCATTTTTCCAACTTTTTTGTTTTTTTTCACTGTCAATATACTGAAAGGGGATAAGTTGCTCAGCCAGATAGAAAACGCCTATCTCTTGCTCTCCGCCCCCCAGTTTGGCCCTAAGTTAGGCTTCTCCCTCCCTTTAACTCTTTCCTCCCTACCTGTCTCCCTCCCTGCCTCCCTGAGCTGCTTCCCTACCTCCCTGCCTCCATTTCCTCCCTCCTTCCCTCCCTTGCCTATGCATCAAACAATTTCTCACCCGAAAAAGTCAGTGTATCTCTGATCCACATGATACCTATCAGAACGGCCTGTTAAGAATTTCTTGAGAGCGTTCAGCTTAGCAGGACCCTTCTCTGTATAACCGAGCTCCTTTACAAGACCTTGGTTGCTCTCGTTAGGGAGACAGGGATTTGTGTCCTCGACACATATGTAGTCACCAGGCTTCGTAAATGCATCAAAGTACTCGAACACTTTTACCATATTCACGTGTGCGTCCTCCATTAGGAACCATGGATGAGGCAGACTCTGTATTGACAAAGCATTTAAAGTCAAGTTAAGTCAAGTGATTTCTCAACAACAAAAACACATGGTCATATCATTGGTCCTTTTTATACTAGATACGCAGAATCGGTGCAGACGAATTACGCGCTTCTGTTTATGCGACTAGTGTGCAGACAGGACCAATTAAATCATCACACACCAGAATGCAAGAAAGTTGTTTTGTCGCGTCATAGTCAAGATGAAAGATTGAAAAACAAAACCTCAGAGGCAAGTTAGGCCTGAGGCCTCATCAACTACCACTTCATGGAAATCGAGAGCGAATAATCTAATTGTTTATGTTGAATTGTTACTGAAATATTCTTCAAATAACGGTTTCAAGTTATTCTTCGACGTATTATTAAACTTGGCGCCTCACAAAGATCGCTCGCATTGAATTGCCATTTGAAATTGCAGGCGGCTCTGGTCACGCGCGCATATTTTATCAATATTTTCAAGTCTTTTTAAGTCGAGAACCGTAAATATTCTTTTTTTACCTTCAGAAAGTCTGCTGGAAAGCATTTTTCCACATGAAACAAGTCTCCCTCAATAAACTCCACATCCGGGGACTCTCGAGCCAAAGGGTCCAGCAAAGAAAGGTCGATATCGATGGCTATCACACGTGACTTGCACCCAAACATTTTTAACATGTCCGCTGTCCACAAAGCTGAGCCTCCCTTGTACGCGCCAAAGTCAAATACCGTTCTCGGTTTGACTTCCCACAGTAACTGCTGGTTAGCTGTCAGAGTTAAGGGATCTTTCAGGATTGACACGCCACGCCAGAAAGTCATGTATTTTCCTTAAGAAATAAATGATAAAGGAAATTAATCGGGATCTTTGTTCTTTGGCTTCTTTCCTTAAAAACAGACACTTCTTTGCCCAAGAGGTGTGCGAATGAATCACTGAAAGATGACATTGTGGTTGTAACATAAAATGCATCATAAACTTTAAACGTTGTTGACAATGTGACGATTTACATCTTTTTACATGACGTGCCTGCTTGAAAATTATATCATATTCGTTGCTTGCTACTGTTACACCTTATAAAATGTGGACTAAATCTTTTTTCTACTTTAGTCGATTTAGTGGATAGGGAGTCCCTCTCTGAATCAAGGCTTCTCAAAAGTGGATTACATCTTTGTATTTGAACCAAAAACACTGACGTTCGGTAAATTCACCAACTTTTAGATGCTCTTTCAGGCACCAGGCGTATTTTTTCAAATTAATGAATTTTAAATACTTGTAGCCAGTCCCTTGCTCGTTTAGAACATGGCTAATTAGTTCGAACTTCAATTATATGTGGTATCATCGTTTCCACAGTGTTCCCATATTACGCGCGAATTTTAGACAGGAGTAGTTGTTTTTAGCGCACTTATGAAGTATTGGGCCTGCTTGTTTCTGTTCAGTCTTATTAATAGGAGTTAACTATCAAACATGTCTTACCATGACATAAGGACGCAAAGACATCAACTGATAACGCAGAGGTGTCTCGCCTTTCTTCCATTGGAACAAATCTGTTTTTGTCATTTGATAGTTCCTTTCTGGCTTGTTCTGCTACTGCCTGGTAGTTTGTCAAATCTTTAATATTGCAATCCATGTTCTGAAAATAATTAAAAAAACAACAACAACAACAACAACAACAGATGTTGGCATGACTCATTTTGTATCCGACTTTCCACTGTTTCTCACGCGAATACAAGCTTATAGAAAACACGGTTGTATCCAAAGCCCATTGTGTCACACAACTGACAAGCTAGCCAAGCTATAGCGCTGGCTTGTGCACGGCGATTTAACATACACCATACAATGACCCAAACATCTGACGCAGTGTAGCCCGCACAGACTTAATGCTGACCTACTAGGACAATTATCATGGTTTTGGCGTAAGATTCCATATGTTGTTTTGACCATGCACTTGAACTGATGTTTGTGTGTATAAAAATACAAAATACCATCAGATTTTCTTGAATTAAAAAATATTGCGCTAAGATAAAAAATTGTTACTTTTAAATTCGGGCGATTCTTGCCGCTTCTCGGACACGTAGCTTTCAACGATTTGTTTTGTTGCAATGTTCAATGATACATGCATACCTCTAAAGGTCTCTCATGGTTGTTTTACTCTTTGCCCCAGTGGAGTCACGCCACTAGTAGAAAATAGTTTTTCTCACCAGCCGCTCCACTGTTACTAACAGAAGGCTTGGTTAGCGCTTAGGTTTGTAAAGGAGGCAGCATGCGCACTTATCATCTCTTTGAGAACTTCTGTTATCAAGAGCGGCTACTAGTGTATGCATTCAACAAACAGTTCCCGCCTGACGTAATTTTAATGTCTCGAAGTCTCCCCCCCTCCCCGCCAAAAAAAGGAAAACAAAGTGAGCCTCACTTGGCGAACTTTGTTGCTCACCCTAGCATTTCACCGACTCTTTTTGATCAAATGAAATTAAGACTTGACACTCACACAAAATTCGACGACCGAAAAGATTCTCGACTATTTCCACGTCACCAATTTTGTTAGGCCTGAACGTCTTTTATTGCAGTGGAAAGAATTGATTTTCACAACGACATTCATAATACTGCTATCATGGCGAAGACATTTTCCCACACTTGTATGCACTTGGCAAATAGTACATCGTGAAAGACTCAAATCTCCGTTTGTTATCCCAGAGACATGCAACAACTGTTGCACTCTTGTTTTGTACATGTATATTGTTTTTTTTTTTCCGGCCCAGGATGAATATTCTTATTTTTCTGCCGATTTTAGGCGGAAAATATCCTCAGATAATTTCCTTTTTGTCTATAATAGGCTAAAAGTTACTAAAATTTTTAAAAACCAAAACGTTTTAGACCGTACGGTCATCATCAGTGGTACATGATGGAAATTTACATACAACTTGGTTTTTTTCGATTAAGTTATTTCCGAGAGGAGCAGTTTCGCAATGAAAGAATGTACTTGTTTGTTTAGGGTTGGTTTCTCGCAAGCAATTAGCGGGCCTTCCATTGTTTTCCTCCGAAAAGTGGTTTTCTTGGTCCACGCAATGTTCCATGTGTATGCGTGGGTTGGGTGTTTTGTGAAGTGACGGGCCGGTTCGAAGTTGTGAGACTTGTTCTCGTGTTCTGCCTTTTGCACTGCGAAGTTTCTTTTTGTTTCCCCGATGTAGGCTTCGCCACATGGGCACTCGGCGCGATAGATGACATTTGATTTGTGCCGGGTTTTGTCTTTGAGATTGAATAAACTTTTGATTTTCCTTGTTTGCCACAAGATGATAAACATAAATCGCCCGTCCGTGAGAGTTTTCAGTTTGTTTATAAAACTCTTGCTGAGTTTCTCGTTGTCGAACGAGTAGGGTAACTTAATAAATACTTTCTTTCTCTCTTCAAACAAATATTCTGAGATTAAACTCTCTTCCTTGCATGTTTGGTAGTGGAAATGCCGCGTTTGATTGTGGCTTGAATGAAACGCTTAGAACCTACGTTGAGATAGATTTCGGTGATTGCTTTTATGTCGGACTCAAGATTGGTTGATGTCCTCTTTACTCTGTGTAGCGTTCCCATGACGCTGTTTCTTCTCCAATTAGTTGGTGCTTGGGATGATCAGTGGGTTGGGACATCGCCCTCGGGAAAAACGTAATCGAGCAAAACCAAGTTGTATGTCAATTCCCATCATGTACCACTGATGATAACCGTACGGTCGAAAACGTTTTGGTTTTTAAAATTTTAGTCCTTCTAGCCTTTTAAAAACATCTAAAATGCAACTATTATGACAACAGTTTCTGTTTTACTGCCTTAATTCGATGGCCTGAAAGTGTTTTTGGAGCCGGAATGCAGGCAATAAAGACTGATATGGGACCGTTCATTTTTTATGATTTTTTCTTAGATGTTTGAACGTGAAATATGCACGACGTTTACAAAACTTTACAAACGCATCCCGCTCACGTAAGTCCGCCATGTTTGTTTTCCACAAACCAGTACTTAGTCTCGCTCGGCCAAATTTATTAACTGAAGCGATCATAGATACTCGGTTCCAGGCCTCGCTGCTTGCCCCCCTGGTAACGACCGATGCCAACAATGCAAAAAACATTCGCCACAATTGTATAAGTAATTATAACATGCACGTAATTGTTCTCTGTTTCACGGTCAGTGCACTCGAATGCAGCATATTATCATGATGAGAACAGATTCAATAATAGTGGTGCATTGCACTGCTGTAAATTGGATCGATTCACAGCAGTGCACGGCACTACTATTCTCGAATCTGTTGGTGCTTTCGAAGCGGAAAAACCTGCAATTTCGTGTATAGGTTTTCGTCATGGATATGCAAATTTCAGCAATTGTTAACCAAGGGAAGTAAACTTGGTGTAACGCATTATGTCATTTTTACTTTCTTTGAAAAACCAATAACTTCTAGCAGGTTTGGAGACCACAAGATCTACTTCTTTCGTGGCTCTGCAGGGTTTTCATTAAAACCCTCTGTAACAGACCTGGTGAAACTCTACCTGCCGACTAGACTGTAAGCAGTCTCCTTTTTCCTGGAAAATCCATGGGGAAGAACGCAAACCAAGTCAGTGGGAGAGCGTGAAGTGCGGGCGGCGACACCCGCACTCTTTGAGCCTTCACATATCATGTTCGCATGCTCACAACTGCTCACCTGTTTTCCGTTCTTTTTTGCGTTCTTCCCCATGGATTTTTCGAGCAAAACAGAGACTGCTTGCAGACTACCTGCAGACCTGGTGGGTTATTTTGCAACCCCTTCCCCATTATGGAATTTTAACCTCCCTGGCCCCTGCTTTTTTTTTCTTAATTTAGTTTCAATGGTGAAGCGTGTTTCCCTGCAAAAAAAGTGTCAAGGGTTTGGAATTCCGTTCTTATTTCTCCAGTTTTGTGGAAAACAAAGCATAAAAACGATAAATTTTCTGCACATTTTTGACAGAAATTATCGTTTTGGTGAAGAATTGGGTGAACCTAGTGGATTTTGATCTGCCCTGGTGGAGGTTTTGTTTAGAACCTGGCGAACAACTAGGTTTCCCTAGGTCTGTTATAGAGAGGTGTTTCATTGTACTGAGAAAAATCAAAATTTGTTTACATTCAATAGATAGCACTCGACAGCTTGACTAGACTAGCTTGACTTGCAGGACTCGGCATATTGTTGCAAAAGTTAATTTAGCATAATAAGGATTACACCAGCATAACAGCTATAAAAAGTTGAAACTGACGACTTACGGCCGACTATCTAAACGATGCCTATGTAAGACCTGTTTTAAGTTTAAATCGGGGTGTAAAAGAAGCCTTCACTAACATCTAAACTTGGTTAAATTTGTATTTAGTGAATGTAGACGAGAAGAACTCATGGGGTCCACAGGTAAACAATGGTTTAGGAAGTCGGCCTATTGTTTCGATCTATGTGTGAAATATTTTATCGAGCACACTAATGTATTGTATATCATGTGCGAAACTAAAATGAGAACAAATGTTAGCAACGAAGGACAACTGCATTGTGAGAACGATCGTCATCCTACGTAAAGAGCATATCTTCAGTCGATGAATGGTCGCACAAAAACGATCTCAAGGCTTCTCAGCAACAAAGCTGATATCGACGAACATATCAAGAATCTATCCTCACATAAGTTGTCCTTCTTTCAGAGGCTTGCCTTATACCGTGGTCTGGACTTCGCTCTTCCACAGCCGGTTTCACCAATGAAACTATAGGCAACCTTTGAAAAAGCCCACTGGAAACTAGAACCAAAACTACGCGATGAGAAGAAAGAACTAGCAGCTGCAACGCTACGTTCTATTTCCATTTACTACATCAAGAGGAAAGGCCCGACACCACCAAAATCAATGTTAAGAGCGATAGGTCAGCTAAAGAAGAGAGACGACATCGTAATTACGCGAGCAGACATGGGCTTGGGAGTCGTGATCTTGGACAAAACAGAGTCTGTCAGCCTACTGAAGGAATCATTTTTTAGTGATGAAATTAAATTCATACCGAGTCTCAAAAGACCAAAAGCAAAGGGAAGACCGAAGCATTATCACTGGCTACTTAAAAAGGAGAGGGAACTGTCCATTATCGTGTAAAGAATTCTTCTAAAACCCATGGCCGACTCACTCATCCAAAAGGGCTCTAGGCTCGCACACCTTTATGGTTTACCAAAGACCCACAAGAAGAAACTAGTGGTCCGTCCGACCCTGTCAGCAACAGGAACCTACAACTACATTAGCTTGCTAAGTGGCTTGATGAAAAGCTAAAACCTTTGTCGGTCAACGACGAAACCGTTAATGACATCTTCTCGTTTGCTGATGATCTTCATGAGATGAAAATCGACGAACAGGACATTTTAGTGTCATATGATGTTTCGTCTCTTTTCACAAACGTACCAGTGGATGAAACAATCGAAATTCTAGCAGAGAAAGCTTTCAAAGATGATTGGTTCAATAAGGAATTTGACCTTAACATCACAAAAACTGACTTTATAGAGCTGTTAGAGGTTGCTACGAAATACCAGCTTTTCCAATTCGAAGGAAATCTGTATGAGCAAGTGGACGGGGTTGCCATGAGCTCTCCCCTTGGGCCACTAATGGCAAATGCGTTAATGTGCATTATTG